TAAAGATTTCCATATCACTTCATAGGTTTATGAAGTGAGCGCTCTGAGTTCGATCCCAACCACATCCCTGGTAGTACCGCGCTCAACTCGTTTCTCCGCGCAGCGGCCTTGTTTATCAAGGTTCGTGTTTTGGAGTTATAGAGTTGAGAGAGGGTTATAACCACAAATAAGTAGCCTTCGCGTCTGTAGTGGCCTTCTCGGCCTTGAGGAGGTGAATTAAAAAAAAAAAAAAAATTTGCTCAATTTTGTCAGAACTTAGAATTTTATCTTCAACTTGATAAGATACAAAATGGTTATTTATGTATATTGCAACACCACCACCTATTCTACCATCTTTACGATCATTTCTATACAAAAAGTAAGCTCTGAAACAAGTTCCAGTTACCCCAATAATACATAGATTTACATCACTTCATAATACATCGAACTCCTCCATTTTATTATTTAGCAAAGTTGCAATCATATATAAACACATAATGTGGTCAATCGGCTTGTAGTTTCTTAAATTTGACAATTTTGTTTCCACAGATAGCATATCAAAATAGTATCAGCAGCAAGTTAAGAATTTAGCTTATTTCTTTCTTGTCTTAATTGAAAATCTAACATTCTCTCTGTTCTCTGTTTATACAATCACATAAAAGATATTCTATTTGAGGTTTATAATTGTTCAATAAATCAAGGAACTTTTATGGAACAACTAAAGGTAGCTAAAGTTACCCCTATATTCAAAGGAGGTGAACTAACAAATGTAATTATTGTTCAATCTCAGTCTTCTCTGTTTTTTCCAAAATTTTATAAAGAATTCATTTCAACAGAATTTTCATCTCTCTGTAAATAATATACTCTATGATAATCAGTAGGTTTTTAAAAAAAAAAACTGAACAAGCAGTAGTTTAACTCACTCGACGCATTACGGATTCTTTTGAAAAATTCCAATTTACTTTACGAATTATTATAGACTAAACCTTTTCATACAATTATATATTTTTATAAAAAAATTGAAACATTATGGTACCACTGGCAAAATCTTAACATTGTTAAAAAAACTACTTAAAATATGGTAAACATTTTTGAATAATAATGCATCTTTGTCTTCAAATGTTTTAGATATGACATGTGGAGTTCCACATAGTTCCATACTCGGACCACTGTTATTTCTTATTTATATCTTATTTCTATTATGATCTCCATAGAGCCTCTAACTTAATGATAATAAGATTTGCAGATGACACTACTCTTTTTTTGTCCCACAAAAACATCAACAAGTTATTTCCTGTTATGAATAATGAACTAAAGAAAGTTTCCAGCTGGTTTAAATTAAATAAACGTTCTCTAAACATCGAACACCATCCAGCTTCAAAAAAATATATGCTACAGTGTGAAATGCATGTGCTTGTTATTATAATAAATGCATATGATAACATTCATATAAAAAGAATCATGTATACAAATTTTTTACATGTTATTATAAATAAAAAATTTTCATGGAAATACCACATTTGTAACTTATGCAATAAAACTTCTAAAAGTATATAAACTGCAATAAAACTTCTAAAAGTATTGGAATCTTTTATAAATCAAAAAGTATTATAATGAGATATACTTTAATTCAACTATATTACTCTTTGATTCACTGTCATATTAGTTGCATCAACGGTGCCTGGGGGAGTACCCTCAAAAATAAGCCTCTACATTGTCAGCAGAAGTATGTAACATGTCTTATTAATTTAAAAGATCATTTTACTCATTCCAAGCTTCTCATATTTAATATGAACATTCTTAATATTTATGAGGTTAATATTATCAACATACTTTGCTTTATGTTTATATGCAAAATTAATGCGTTTCCAGTTACTTTTGGTGATTTATATTCATGTAATGAAAAAAACAAATATATAAAAAAAATAATTTTTTATATATTTTTTTATTTAAGACAACCAAAATTTAAATCAAATATTGGCAAACCTTGCATTCCAATCCGTGGAGTATTTTTTAATGGAACAAAATGGTTTTTAAAAACTTTGATTTTATTTGTCAATGGAGTTAATATTCCTTTTAAAAAAAACTAAAAGAAATCATTTTTTGGATTGATAAAATTTTTGAATATTTGCTTTTAATCATTTCTTAAAGTATTGCAACACTATTACTAAATATTAGTTACATGTAAAACAAAATGCTATAATACAAATGTATAAAAACTTAGATTCTTGCTTCTAGAGCATCCATCTTAAAATTAACACTTCTTAAAGTATTTAAACATTTTTTTCTAAAAGAAACTATTTATTTTAACATTATATATATTACACCACTGTTTTTTATTTACATTTTTTCATGCCTATGTTTTTATTTTGCTATTTTATTTTATATTTAATGTTCTAGCTGTTCTCTAATGGTTCTCAATGACAAGACCTGGTCTTCTACAGGTCTCCGCATTCTATATATTTCAAAAATATAAAAATCTTACTATTTATATAATATATATTTAGACTTAAATGTTCAATTAAATACTTTAAACTACAATTTATAGAACTTAATGAGTTGAGTTTAACAAAAGATAGGTTAAACAAAAGATTTTTGTAAGTAAAATGATATTTTCCAAAAAATTCTGCCCAATCATTTTAAATTAATATTTTTTATGCAAAATACAATCAATCGGTAAAAGATTACTACATCTGCCTAATAACATCTGCAGGGTAGTCCAAGATCAACTGCACACTTTTATCCAAGATCATCCTTATTTTTTTTACTCCAACAACATATGTCTAATATCATCTGGAAATTCAATGATCCGTAAGAACATATTTAGGAAGATGTAACAACATCTGGTAATTTTTCTCTAAGTCCAATAACATCTGGAAGAATTTCCTCTAGATGTAATAACATCTGAAAAAAAACTTATATGAAACTACATCTGGTTAAAGTAACACATTTAAAATGTGTAAAAAATCAAATTATTCCTGTAGGAATCTAATAAAATTTCGAACTTTTGCTTTGGTGGTACCCATAAGCTTGTGCACAGAATAAGAATTCAAGCCATTGTCCAAAAGTGTGGACTGAGAAATGTGCTGATTTTATGCCACAGCTCCAAATAGCCAAAAGATTTTTTTAGCAAAATTGTCATGTTTTATGTATTTAAATTGTTCATCTGCTTTTCCTCTACAATTGGCAATATAATAGACGGCACCAGGAATTCGCTGATGATCGTACTTGATATAAGTTTCATAGTCTTCAATAATACAGAAATGTTTAGAAATAAAATTGTCATACTACTTTCTGCATCGGATTTGTGCACTTTTTTGTTGAGTTTCAGATTGGTTAGGCACTTTTTGTGCTTTGAAAGAATGAAAACCATGTTTATTTTGAACTTTTACAAAAAAAAAGTCCATAAATGTTTGCATGCTCCCTTAGTGAAAGGCTTGGATTAGTCTTAAAACTGTTAACCAGTTTTCTAACTAGTTTTTTATCTTTAAAACCCTTCTTTCTTCCACCACCAGATTTATGTTTGACCTATTTTGTTTGAAAAAAACGTTGGATTACACAACTAACAGTGTATGGATGTATTTGCAACGCTTTTCCTATCGAACTGTAGCTACTATTGGAATTTTTCAAATATTTGTGCATAATTTTTTCCCTTATGTCTTCTTTTGACATTTTTAAAACTAATTTTAAGTTAAATCAAAAAACTAATACATATTTTTGAAACCACAACACGTAAACAAAATACAAAATAATTAAAAAGATTTTAATATAACCACTGAAAAAAAATGACATACTTATTCTTTCACACTTATTTTGTGTACACGCTTTAGTTGTTTGCAGTCTTGTTTGAAGTGAAGATGTTTAAAAAAAAACACAAGAAGAAAAATAATATTGTTATAGCAACTAATCTTTTCTTATAACAAAAAGGATAAGAAAATTTTCAGAAATAAAGTAATTTTATGTAACAACATCAAAGTTAAAATGCATTGAGGAAGTTCACACTAGTAATTAAAGAAAGCCATGATTTCTAGGGGGTCATGATTATGATATAGATCATAATTATGTCTGCCTAGAAAAAAAATTAAAATAAGATCCAATCATTCTATTCTTTTAACACCAAAAATATTGGTAAAGACCATTCTGTTGTTTTTGATCATGATTTTTATTCAGGAGCTGCTTCAGCCAACAAAAATAAACTAGAGTGGTTTGTGTAACGTGAGTGTACAACACGTAAACAAAATACAAAACAATTAAAAAGATTTTAATATAACCACTGAAAAAAAATGACATACTTATTCTTTCACACTTCTTTTGTGTACACGCTTTATATTTATTATTTTTTCCAGATGTAACTACATCTGAAAAAAACCATATATGAAAAAACACCTGATTAAAATAATTCCTTCCTATTTAATATTTTTTTCCAGATGTAACTACATCTGAAAAAAACCACAAATGTAACAACATCTGGTTAAAATAATGCATTCTAATTTATTATTTCATAAAATTGTGTAGTTATACTTAATATAATTGAAAAAATGTAACTAATTTTGTAGAATTCACAGATGTTGTACAGATTTATAACATATTTGAAAAAATGAAACACATCTGTAAAATTTCCAGATGTAGTTGCACAGATGTTTGCAAAAGATGTAACTACATCTGCAGTAGTCATATACTTTTTACACAGATGTTATTAGACATATATGAAATTTCAAATGTTGTTGGACAGATGTTATTATACTTCAGTGTATTTACATATGTTGTTGGACAGATGTAGTTATACAACATTTTATTTACAGATGTTATTGGACAGATGTTATTAGACATAGCAAAAACTGTTGTTGTCACCCTGACCCCAATCAATCTGTCCAACTATGCTATGGAACAATAAGATCAACCTTTTTTATTTTGTTATAAAAAGAAAAGCTAAAAAAATATAAACAATTCATATTTTTGGGAGCTCTTACCCTTCCCATCAAACCTACACAAAAAATCATGTTAAACTATAAACTATATACAGTGAATCGAGCTTTCCAAACAGGAGATCCAGTATTGATAGAACCTTGAGACTGCAATGGAGAGTTGATATTCCAAAACTATAAAGGAAAAAAAAAAACACTGAATTTTTAAACTCATTTTTAAAAAGTTAGTGAAATATTTAGTTTAAAATATTAAACAAAAATTAATCCAATGTAAATGCTTAAAAGAACCCAAGAATCCAATGTAAATGCTTAAAAGAACCCAAGAATCCAATATAAATGCTTAAAAGAACCCAAGAATCCAATGTAAATGCTTAAAATTTTTTGAGCTTAAATCCTAATATTTTGTTATATTTTACTTCTGATTAAAAGTAGTTACACATATGTTAACTGGATATTTATTAAATACTTAAACTTTTATGTATTTACTGGCAATGGCATTTCTGTATAAATATTTATAAATACACAATGTGAATATTATAAAAATGAAAGTAGTTACCATTGCTATTTCACTCAATGTTAGCATAATGTCAAAAGTTTATCAAAAAAAAAAAAAATTAAAATTCAGCTAAGTTCATTATTTGCCGCATTCAAAAATCAATCTAATTGTTATGTCATTTGCCTGGCAATTAGAAAACACAATATAAAAATTTTTTACTTCCACTGAAGTAACTCAAGCAATTAAAAATATAAAAACCTCTATTAAACCACACAACATCACTAGATGTTAAAAAAATTTGTAAATCAAAATTGTTGACTCTAGAAAAATACATATTTAAACTCTAGATTAATATGTGCCTAGCATAATCAAACAAAACTATAACTTAAATGTACAATTAAACTAAAACCCTGAAAAAAGAAAATACTTTTTTTAAAAATAAAAATGTAAAAAAGTAAACTTTTTAATAATTTTAAACACCTTAACAGTAGAATCATTGCTTGCTGTTACAAACTGTGACTCATTTTGAGGTGACCAATCTAAGCCATGAATTTTGGATAAGTGCCCAGCGATATAAACTAAAGGGTTATTTCCATTCTAAATAAAGTTAATAACTTTACGAATAAAAATTATTAATAGAGTTAATAAACTTACCAATATCTTATCAAATAAATAAAAACTACAAATAAAATAGTTTAAAAAAATTGATTAGTGAAAAATTATACAAACTGGATATACCTTATTAAGATTTAAAAAATCATTTCTAAATTTAAAACAATTATATACAATTTATTTTCTACTTTTTAATCTTTACCTTGTCTTCTAATTATTGCAATATCTTCTAATTATTGCAACATTTTCTAACTATTGCAACATCTTCTAATTATTGCAACATCTTCTAATTATTGCAACATCTTCTAATTATTACAACAGCAAGTTTTTATGCTGCTGCAACAAAAAGATTTGGTGTTGTTGCAATAACAAATTTTGGTATTGTCACAACAAAAAGTTTTGTCCACAACAAACAACTTTTCATTAGTTTTGACTATTATTATAGATTTCACAAGTATGTTAGAAATTTTTTTATTGTTTTTAATTTAAATAATTTACTCTGTATGTCTGTAATTTTTATTTTAAAGAAAAATATGAAATTATAAGACATTGACCAGCTTGAAGAATAATTTAGTTTCTGTAGCAAGTGATGACACATCAGTGATGTCAGGATGCAAAAAATTTATTAACATATTATGGACTGAAAATTTCCTTTTAATATAGTTTAGCATGTGCTTATAATAGATTGGAATTATCAGTAGACAATACTTTAACAAGATTTCAGAAATCAATAGGAATTCAAATCATTTATTCATAATCTTTATATTGAACATTGTCCATTACTAAAAAATTGCAGAGTTACATGTTATTTGATGCTGGAAATTGGTTGAGATTTAAATACATGACGAATGCCATTTAGTTTCTGTTCAGTTTATGCAATATGGAAAAGTTATGCAACACAAGTAAATTATGAAGAGGCACATTCTCATAATTCACTTGTACTGCATAATTTATGATGGCATCCATCATGTATTTAAATTACAATTAATTTCTTGTATAATTCTTAGAAAAAAAATTATTGATTGAAATTTCATATAAAACTAAGAATGAGAAAAGATTGCTGAATCTCAATGAGTTTGACAAAAAAATGTTTAATAAATATTCAAAGATGAAAACTTTAACACTTAGCTGTCATTTAAAGAAACCAAAATAAGAAAATTGTCAATTAGACTATAATTTCATGAAATAGAAATACCACAAAATTTTCAAAAAAACAATTTTTCACTCTTTTGGAATTTTTTGTTATATTTTTGTGAAATCTGTGTGTTTATTACAGAAAATGTTAAAATCGAAACCAAAAGCAACCAGCTAAACCTAAGTTTTTAGGGATGCATTTTAAATGACAAAATTTTTTACGAAAATGAATAACTTCTATTAAACTTCAAAAAAAAAAAAAACACTCTTTTCTTTTGGATTCTTTTGTTATATTTTTGTAGATTTTGTGCGTTTATTACAGAAAATTTTAAAATAGATCAAAAGGAACCAGAGGAACCTAATTTTTTAAGTTAAAATAATTTTTTAAGCTAAATTTTTTAAGTTAAAATGCATTTTACTGTATGTAAAATGACCTAAAATAAAATATATGACAAAATCTCAAAAAAAAAAGTTTTTTATTATTTTCTTTTGTTAAATTTTTATAGATACTGTGTGTTTATTACAGATTTTGTTAAAATAAATAAAAAAAAACCAGAGGAACTTAAGTTTTTTATGTTAAAATGCCTTTATATTGGGTGGGTATAATATATATATATATATATATATATATATAATCAGAATAAACACACACTAAAAATCATCTCTAAAAACATTAACAAATAATATTAAATCATAATATATTTGTAATATTACCTTTCATGCAAATCAGAGATAATTAAACTTCATTTTGAAAACATATATTTTTCAAATATTTGTCTTTTTTAATATAATGGAATAATTTCAGTAACACTTTATTTTTTAGAATATAAACAATCAAAGAATTAAATTAACAAAAACAAGAAAAATTAGACAAAGAATTTAGAAAAAATAGACTAAAACGTTAAATTGAATTGAAATAATTTGCTTAGAACTGAGAGAATTGAGGCAAAAAATTTTATTTATACTTTATCAATGCAATCTGTTCATCGTAAAGTAAAAAATATAATAACAGATTATGATAAATATTTAGGAAAACCAAAAAAATTAGTTAACACTTCTTTTACTCAATTGTTTGATATTACTGATTTGAAAGGTCTGTGGCTAACAAGTGAAGACAAATATTTTTACAAAATGCAGATAGAAAAACAAAGAAGAACAGGCTATTGTTCTAATAAAGTTGCTGACCCAACAAAAATCCATCTATCAAAGAGAATCAGAAACATCCAAAACGAAAACTCATCTACAGAACATACTGATATTAATACTGATTCTAATACTATGGCTATTGAGACTAGTGAAGATGAATGTTTTGACACACCAATACCTGATACTAACTCCAGAAAGAGGAGGTATTGTACTACTTTGTCAATATTGAAATTATCAACAGCAGCAAAGTTATCATCAAGAAAAGCGGTGGTGCAGCAGTGCGAAATTTTTCACTTAAAGATATTGGATTAGATATATACACACCTAATCATGACTTACACTATTCTTTTATTAAATTCATTCATGAAAATTACAAAAATCTTGTCAAAGCATTTGACAACAGTGGTCCTTCTTTAAACTGCAAAATATTAGAATTGAGAGATGATATGAAATTGCTTTACAATCTATACAAAGAATATCTTTTTTATAAAGAAAATGGATATTTTCCTAAAATCATTGTTCAATATTCTCAAAATCATTGTTCAATATTCTCATCATTCACAACCATCTCTTCACTGTACAGGAGCAATTTATTTTTAAGTTATTTTCGTGTTAACTCATCAATAAAACAACTTGAACTAGTTTGTAATTTTATTAGTGGTAACTGGCATAAAATATGGTTTGGGAAACATATTTTTCATGAAAATAATTTTAGTAATCTTAAAGAAGATATCAAGAAAGTTGGTAATTGCTAGAATTGTAAAAAAAAAAACTAATTACAAATTGCAAATACGAATACAATATTAATATACAATTTAAATGATTAGAAATATTTTTGTTTTTATTGGTGGGTAATCTTTTTGAAAAATTAATGTAAATGAATATGATTTTATTTTGTTATACATAATTGTTCATTATAAAATAATATTGATAAATATTCATTAGAAGATAATATGTGACTTTTTCACAATGCACATATGCGTTGTGAAAAAGTCAGCACCCTATTATTTATATATATATATATATATATATATATATATATATATATATATATATATATATATATATATATATATATATATATATATGTATATATATATATATATATATTTTAATATCATATATATTTTAATAATTTCAATTTAAATCAGCAAACGTAACGCCCCTATTTAAAAAAGGTGATAAGACTCTTCCCTGCAATTATCGTCCAGTTTCATTGACTTCTGTTCCATGTAAAATTATGGAAAGTATTATTAGAGCTAAAATGGAAGAGTACCTGTATAAAAATAATCTGCTAGCAAAAGAGCAACATGGTTTCGTTAGAAACAAATCTTGTACCACTAATCTTTTAGAAAGCATTGACTACATTTCATCAAGCTTAGATGTTGGTATTCCAGTTGATGTAGTTTTGTTAGATTTTGCTAAAGCCTTTAATACAGTTCCGCACAGGAGACTGTTAGCCAAACTAAAAGCATACGGCTTTGATGGTCTGCTACTTAAATGGATTGCAGCTTTCTTAGAAAACAGAAGACAAAGAGTTGTTCAAGGTGATATCATTTCTGACTGGGTTAAGATTTTTAGTGGTGTACCACAAGGTTCGGTAATTGCAGCACTTTTGTTTGTTTTATACATTAACGACCTTCCAAAAGAATTGCTTAATGTAACCAAACTATATGCTGATGATACAAAACTGCTGTCTCAATTATCATCAGAGCTATGCGCTACTAATCTTCAAAATGATCTAGATACTGTCTACAAATGGTCTCAAACTTGGCTTCTTCTGTTTAACATATCAAAATGTGTAGTTATGCATTATGGCCACAATAACAAAAACTATATAATTTAAACAGTATTCAATTAACGGAGTCAGATACAGAAAGAGATCTGGGAGTACTTTTTAATACAAACCTAAAATGGAAAAATCAAGTGATTAATGCTTCTAACAAAGCAAATCAAATGCTTGGTCGTATCAAAAAATCATTTGTTTGTTTCGATTATAAGTTACTTCGTATGCTTTATATTACTTTTGTTCGTCCATTACTGGAGTTTGCAGTTCCGGTATGGTCTCCATTTCTTAAATCAGATTGTGACTATATCGAAAGAATCAAGCACAAAGCTACTAAACTAGTATCATCAATTAGAAATCTTTCCTATACAAATCGAAGAGTTAAACTTAACTACACTAGTGGAAAGGAGACAAAGAGGAGATCTAATACAAATGTATAAAATTATGAATAATATTGATAAACTAGAAAAAGGCATTCATTTTCCAATAGTTAACAATCGTACACGAGGTCACTGCTTTAAAATTTCTAAGGAAATGACCAAACATAAGCACAGAGAAAACTTCTTCTTTAATCGAGTAGCGAATTTATGGAACTCTCTGCCAGAAGAAATTGTTAAATCGCTTTCAATCAATAACTTTAAAGCAGCAATTGATTGCTGGATGAGCAGCAATCGATCATTTCGGCTGTCAAAGTGTGCCTGATAACACACTCGCTGGCTCTGCCAGTTACAGCGTTTACTACTAACTAACTAACTAACTAACTATATATATATATATATATATATATATATATATATATATATATATATATATATATGTATGTATATATATACACATTATTTGTGAATATACTTTACAGTAAGTGGTACAATTTTTAAAATATGCATATTATGTCATTATTAAATTTGTTAATAAATATATATTATAAAACCCTAGAAACCATTTAAGTAACCAGAAATAATTTACAGGTAATTTACTAAGTATGGATTTTTTATTTATTAATATAGTATAAAATAAAACTATTTTTATACTATAAAGATTTTTCAGGAATATCTGTCTTTCTGGTGAATATAAATTTTTTAATTTATCTGGTGACAGATAAATTAAAAAAATATACGACAGATAAATTAAAAAAATATACGACAGATAAATTAAAAAAATATACGACAGATAAATTAAAAAAATATCAAGAAGAAATTGATATTAACAAAGTCACGGGAATTATGACTGATTTTTCATAATTTGCAGCATTGTGAAAATAGTACGAACATGAATAACACATGGATTTAAAAAACTATTTTACCCTACTTCATTGCTACAGTTGCATTTCACATGTCATGTTCATATTTCCTTTTAAAATAAAATTAATTTAACCCTAAAAGATAATTTTTTAAAGGACTGTGAAGTCAATTAAGAATAAAATACGTTTTTTACTTTTAACAAAAAAAAAAATTTATTATCATAAATAGTTATAAAATATTTTTATTTCAATTTTCGCTTTTGAGTTATATTTTATAAAAATTTTCTTGAGTTCATTTTGATAAGGCTTTAACCAATTAACTTGAATTATTTTCTTCTATTAAAATTGCTTTAATGATTAACACCTTCAATGAGGGAATTTTATTTAGAAAAAAAAAGTTACTTTTGAATTAGCTTACTTAGAAAAAAAAAGTTACATTTAAATTTGCTGTTTAAAGATTTTTTTAAATCAACAACTTTAGGTGTTTTGATGTCACAGGGAAATGATATTTTAAAATAAATAAATAATTATTTATCTGCTGCAGCATTTAGAGATAAACAAAATAAGTCAGCAGTTGTAACATGCATTTCCTTTTACTACCAGAACAAACTAATAGTTTATTAGATGTTTATAAAAGTATATTATTTACTGGAAATTACTTTATTCAAAATTTATTTTATATTTTTTTCTGTTACCAGACCATAATCAACTTTAAAAATCAGCATAGAAAATAAAAAATAAAAATGAAATGGTCAATTTGATATTTTATTTCAACAATGAAGATTTTTGACCAGTCAAATGGTCAAAAATCTTCATCACTAAAGCACTAAAGAGCTAAAAAAGCAAAATCATATTTTGATAAAGCCAAAAAACTGACAAAGGAAGCTAGTAACTTTGAAATTGACAACAAAAAGTCAGTCTGGAAACCAAAAAACACCAAACATAAATTTACCATAACATGTAAAAGTATTAATAATTTATCTGAGAATGAAAGCAGTAATTCAAAGGAGATTAAACATTAACTTAATTTTTGAAGTTTTTTCAAGAAATATTAAAATTTTTAAAATTTTTAGTTGATTTTTTGAATCTTTACATTTGGACAATGCTTTGTCCAAAAATAAATTAGTTTTTTGGAGAAAATTTATATTGCATGTTTAGATGGCAGCCTAATATCATACTTAATATCATACATTGACTGGCTAAATAGGTAGAACATGTAAGGAATGTCCTTAAATTGACTAAGGAATGGAGGCACCTATCTTTTATATATATATATATATATATATATATATATATATATATATATATATATATATATATATATATATATATATATATATATATATATATATATATTAATTATCTTTTTTTTGATGTTATTGCAATCAATAACATCAAAAAAAAAGATAATTAAAACTCTGTTCATCAAACCACCCAAAAGTAAATATTTAAATACTACTCAAAGAAAACTTGTTATAGACTTGGTTAAACAAGGTAATAATATAATATAATAATATAATAGAAAGCTGTAGTAGTTTGAACTACGAGTGAAATTAATGGTAATTAATTTCACTTTGACAGCATATACATTGTGTAACTTATTGTATATTGCATATACATTGTGTATTCTAGATAAATAAATTAAATTATAAATTACAAATCATGTAGCTCTAGATATTTATGTGATTTTTGAATAAGTTCAAGCTTTCACTTTTGATGACAAAATCTGGTAGTTTGTTTTACATTGATGAGACTCTTTTAGTTAAAAATTGATGACAAATATTGCAGTTTTCAACTATTTCTCTTCTAATTTTGTTATGGTGCCTTGTGTTGGGCTGATAGGAGACAAAAATATTACAATCTAGTTCTACAATATTTATTTTTTTAAGTAGTTTGTACATTTGAATTAAGTTGCTTTTTTAACTTCTTTTTTCCAGTGTGTATAAGCCAAGTATTTTAATTCTTGTTTCGTAACTTTGTTTTCGAATCTGGGGTATCCATTTAGTGGCGTAACGTTTAACTTTTTTAAGTGCAATAATATCACTTTTAATGTATGGGCACCATGTCTGTATCACAAATTCAAGATGAGGTCTTATAAATGTTACATATAGTATCTTAAACATTTTTTTGTTGATGTAATGAAAAAAAAATTTTAACATTTCGAGTGTTGAATAAGCTTATGATGTACAATTGTTTATGTGACTTTTCCATTTTAGATTTAATGACATTGTAATTCCAAGATCTTTTTCGGTATCAGAGACTGCTAATATTTTGTCGCCTAGTTTATAAATATAGCAAAGGTTATTTTTCCAAAGTGCATAATACGACATTTTTCACTATTAAATTGTAATAGCCATTTCTCTGACCGTTCACAGGCTTGATTAATTTCATTCTGAAGCAATTGACAATTCTCAGAGCTAGCTACTTTCCTGATTAACTTGGTGTCATCTGCAAAGACCTTAGAGTGTTCTAGAATCTCTGGTAAATTGTTGATATATAAAATGAACAAGATTGGAGAAATTACTGATCCTTGGGAAACACCGCTTGCTTATCTTGTTGATTAGATAAAGTCGCTAATCCAGTTACAAATGACATATGATATTCCATATGACTTAAGTTTGAATAATAATCAATCATGAGGTACCATGTTGAATGCTTTAGTAAAGTCAAGATAACAAATATCTACTGGAATGTTTTCTGCTAGCGATAGCAAAATAATTATTGTTCCAAATAGATTTGTTAAACAAGATTTCCCCTTTACAAATCCATGTTGATATTTATTTAATAAACCATTATTTTACATATTTTTATATATTGTGTTAGATATAATATTTGAAAACTGTCTTACTTTCGAGTACTTTAGTGACTATTGAGGTTAACGAAACTGTTAGTTGCTAGCAATTAACCTGTTACCTTTTTTGAATATTGGAGTTATGTCTGCCAATTTCCATTTATTTGGTACTCTTCTGGTTATGAGCAATTTTTCAAAAATCATAGCAAGCAAAAAAGCGACGTTATTATATTACAATATCAATTGATATTGTAATATAATCTGTGATTTTATAATGTTATTATAATATCACAGTTATTATATTATCTATTATTGCCTCACAAGGATAAGACAAAATATAGCTTTTTACAATTGATAAATTATTGGTATTCTCCCTGGTAAATACTGATTCATTGTTAACTATTTGGTTTATAAGGTATTTGGTTTTATTATTTGGTTCTTTAATTAGTTCATTATTCAATGTTAAAGTTCGGATGGTATTTTTTAAATTGTTTTTGCTGTTAATATATTAATACTTATAGAAACGTTGAAGAACTTATAAATATTCCATTTACAAGAGTAGGAGCCATTGTAAAAAATACCAACAATATAAAATACTTGAAATTCCTACTGTACTAGGATAAAAGCTGAAGTTAACTTCAAGAGGCGATTGAGAAATTTTAAAGGAATGATAAAAAAAATTGGTTTGAAACCGCAAAAAATATAGCGAATCATCTGAAAAACTTAACAGGAAACACTATTTTACTTACATCAATTGGAAATTGCATTTATAAAGAAGGGTTCAGTGGATGTATGACTTGTAAAAAATCCCTCTTAACAAAAATTCATATAAAGAACTCCGAACCTCTCACTTATAAAGCGAGCGCTCTACCACTACACCACTACCGCATATAACTTTCCAGTAAAAAATGAAATGTTTTTTCTTTAAGTTTCCAGATTTCCTGACAACTTTGTATCATTCCTATACTTAACTAAATTATAAAATTTCAAGTGATTTAAAAGAATTTACAAGTGTCCCTTTGAGCATGTTTGACACAAAACCCTTGGGAGCCATTGCAACAAAGGTATTGGCAAGAAAGAGTTGCAGCTTTGCTTATAAGAAAAGGTGAGAGAACGTGTTACTTATATCGTACATATGTGAACTTCATACTATGTAATGTTTAAACATACTTAAACACATATCAAGTTTTACAGTTGGAGTTTCTTTCAAAAATGCATTGCATCAACTTCTCCTTAATTTCGGATCTACAGCATTTATTTCCTTAAAATGGTCTGTGTGGAATAGACTTACCATAACCAGTATTATACGGGTTATGGTAAGTCCGTTGTTCCACATATTTAAGTCATCTCATGTTTTTTGAAACTTTTTACACCGATGGTAACTCATTTTAAGCAGATGTTCTAAATATTATTTAGACTAATATTCAATCCTTCGATAAATGGCAATGTATACCAAAACGGTTAAAGTTTTTTAAAATTATTTATAATAGAATTTTTTTATTATATATTATGATTATGCAAATTATTAATTGACTTTATGTATAGCAAGTCAATTATTGATTGACTTCAAACATAATGTCAACTAATATTTCACATAATCATAGCATTTTATATAATCATAAGTAAAAAGAAAAAAAGAAGAAAAAGCAATTTAAAAAAATTGCTGCTCCAACCCAAACGCTTAGCCATTTAGTCAGTCAATGTATGTACTGAATCCCCATCGGCAGCTCCCTATTTTCTGTATGACATTAAAAATTTTAGCTAAATATGCAATATTATATAAATACAAATGTATAAATATGTAAAATATTAAACACCATTTAATAACTTACTCTGATATCCCATATTCTCACATCTCCATCATGCGCACTTGCAAATAAGTTTTTATTTCTTCTATTCCACTTTACTTGTGATGATCCAGCTACTGTAGTAAATAATGAGGAAGGTTTACGGGTTTGTCTGTAAAAAAAAAGGTATTTGTATATTGCCATTTAAATAAAATAAAGATATTATATTAAAACTAATTTAAAATTATTATAATAAACATATTATTCAATGTTATTATAATAAACATATTATTCATATATTCATTATAAAGAAATAATTAACATTTATTAGTAACAAATACATTTACCTCACATCCCATAAATTTATATACATGTCCATGGAACACGTCAACAAAGTATACGGCTCAAAATAACTCCAATTAATATCACTAAAAAAAAAAGTAAGAAAATTTTTGTGCTTGAATATAAAGTGTTAAATTTCAATTGCTTATGTCTAAAGATTGTGGATATTGGATTTTATATTTTGTTTTTTGAGACAAAAAAGTAGCCTCTAACTGTAGTCATTCATGATATTTTAATATAACAACATTCAAAGTCCAATACATGAAAGCGCTTGCCTTTATACTCTGAATAAGAATGAATCCCATGTTCTCTTTAAATCTAATGAAATGAGCATTAAGGATATGGAATTTGAGTGAAACTCTGCATCCTATTTTGGCATAAAAATATAAATCAACTCCATATAGTTTTCACCCCTGAAATTACCTAGGAAACCATGAACAACTGCAACAAATGATTTTGATTGGTTTGACAAAGATACTAACTCTTACATCAGCCTCAGATACTATCCTCAATATGCCTCAGATAGTTTTGAAAAATCTAGGAGGTACTTTAAAAGTGCCAACTCTTTGTCAAGAGCAGTAACAATTTGCATGATGAGTCCTAACATTGATGTGCAGTTGTAGCATCAGCATTTTCTAAGGTTCCACTATCAACTCCCACTTTACATTGTTCTACCCCACAGAGAACTAAGTATATTGTGGACAGCCCTATTAGATATAGTTTTACAGCTTTCTCAGAGGTAAAGAAAACAAAGGAAATTTCATGAAACTGCTTTTAAGGTAGAATAACACTATTTTATTTCCATAGTCATCATACTTAACATCTTAAAAGTGACGCATTCATTGAGATACATAGAATGAGCCATAGAATTGAGATACAAAGAATGGATGGATAGTTGTTTCCATTGTTAAAGCAACATTGCATGGAGAATCCAAGATGATGTTTGATAATAGATACCATTCACTTGGGTTACATATGATACCAATAGCCATTAAAAAAAATATGACCTTTCTGACTAAAGAAGTTAAAAACTTTTTTTTTCAATTTTTTTTGTTTTTAATTTTTTTTTTTATATGACTTGCACATTTTTATCCAAGATTAACTAATGAAAATGGCTATCCCTCTTGGGAGAAGTAGGAACAGACAGGTTGGAGCTGAGGGGTACTGTGGCAAAAAGCAAAGGATTACCTTAATAAATGACTTGAGGCGCATTATTTCTGAGCGATGTTTGTGGGACTTTTGTGGTATCTCTAAAAACATAACAAGAAAGCACGAGGATGGAAAACTTTATGTAAAATTTTCTTTTAAAGTGTGGTAAAATAAACCTCAAATATTAAGCTTAAATAACAAGCTTCTTCATAATGGTGTTACCTTCTTCATAATGGAGCATAAAAATACACATTGTTCTAATCAATTAACATATAAAAAGTATATAAAAAAGAAAATTTAAATAAATTTAATGTACTAATTTTTAACAATTTTATTAAGAAAAAAATATATGTTTTTTGTTTTTAACAAATGTCAGAATTCAACCTTATGTCATTTAAGAGAATCAAAGAAATAATTTTTTCAATTAATATTAGTTAAAAAAGTCAGCAAAGACATTTGAGACATAAGTACATAACTTTATTTCATTTATATCGATATTTTTAGATCTTAAAATTTATAACTGCTGTATTATAAATACAGCAATTAGATATGAAAAAAAAAATATATATATATATATATATATATATATATATATATATATATATATATATATATATATATATATATATATATAACAATTATAACAAAAATTTAATATAATAAGTTACAAAAAAAGGTCTTTTTTCCTAGAAAAACAAGTTCTTTGTTTGAAAAAATTCTTTGTTTGAACAAGTTCTTTGTTTGTACTTTGCCTGAATGATGAATGAGCAGTTCTCTAATTACACCTTCATTTTTAATTTTTAAGAAAATTTTTCTCAAAAATCTTTAACATTTTTAATTCGGCTTACCTGAGTTCAAGTGAATGATCGAAACCAGCTTGTCTCTTATAACCTGGTGTGAATAGATCATGTGAACTCAAGAAGTTATAGGATACCATTTAATATGGGTTACATATATGGATACCGTTTAAAATGGGTTCCAAGTATTTCAAATGTTCTATTTGATTTTTATTTCTGATATATAAAGATATATGTTATGTATATAATATCTATAGAAAAAAAAATTATATATATATACATATATATATATATATATATATATATATATATATATATATATATATATATATATATATATATATATATATATATATATATATATATATATATATATAAATGCGCAAACAAAAGGAAACTTAATATAGAAAGCATTTGATAAGCCCGCCCAAGTTTTTTTTATAAAGATTTACAATTTTACTTTAAGAAGTTATAAAGGACTACACATTAATCGTTAACTTAAAAAAAAGGGCTTAAAGATTTTTTTTTTTATTACCACTTACTAAAACATATTAAAAAAAAAAGGACTATATAAAGAATAAGTATAGAAATGGTTAGTGTGGAATAGACCCATTTTATATGGCTCATGGTAAGTCCATTTGTTATTCGGCATATTTTTAAGTGTATTTCTACATGTTTTATACCAGTTGTAAATAATCAAATCATTACAAGCGGATATTCTGAATATTTTTTAGACATGTACTAATATCCTAATCGCTGATAAATAGCAGTTCTTGCAACGGCTACAGAAGCGTTTAAAAACCTTTTAAAGTTAATTAAAATTTAAAAAAATAGCCGCATTAGCGGGCAACCTAACATTCTTAAGATTGCTTTTTGAGGCTGTAGCCTTGTTCTATGGCACATATTGTATATTTCATATGCTTCCCCACACTTGGAATTCACAGTACAATTCTGGTCACCATATCTAGCCAAACTTGAGCACTTCAACACCGAGCCACGAAACACTTACACAATATCAAGATTAAACCTGACAATGCTAACCCAACAACAAGCAAGAGCCGATCTTATTGAAAAATATAAAATCAACAACACAATCCACATAAATAGGTTGTTTGACGCTGAGAGACCACTTCGTGGTCTATCAGCGTCAACCTAACTCAATGTCATCAAAGTACAGTTTTCGAGCTTGCAGACACACCAAACAACTCAAAGTACAAATTGTTCAAAACTATGCTGAAAGAAATAACTTTTTTACCAACCATGTGGTCAAACCGTGAAACACAAAACGCTGTAAATTCAACAAATATAAATAACTTCAAACATGAACTATCATCATTATACCACCTAACTGTAACTTGAAAGCTTAAGACTATTTTCATTCGATAGACTGTATTTTCATCAGTGGCCTGGTGTGATGCTCTTCATTATTAATTTATAAATTTTACTGATTGTGAATAAATTAAATTAAAAACATCTAATTTTTTATATACTTAAATATACATTGTATATATATATTTTTCTAAAAAACAAAAATTCAAAAAAGGGTTTCAATAGTTTCAATTTTCAAAAGTTTACTAAAAAATATTGAAGTATTATGTATTTTTAATAAATATTTTATAAGGAATAAGTATAGAAATGGTCAGTGTGGAATACACTTACCAAGACCCGCATTTTACGGGTCAGGACAGCTAACAAAAATTATTATACATCATAAACATTAGCACACATTATAAACATTATAGAATGTGAAACGTTTTTACCTTATAGATCTAGTGTGACCTGATAAAACTGTTTTTGGACTACCATTGAAAAGTTCTTCTGCATTCCATATTTCAACTTTTTGATTCATCTGTTAAAATCATGTAGTTTATTAGCAGTACAAACAAAAAAACATTGTTTATGTATTTCTACCTAAATTTCCATTATAACTTTACGCATTATATTGAATTTAATGTTAAGAATGTTAAAATATGTTAAATTATGTTAAATTATTAAAATTATGATTTTAAATAATTTACTTAAATACTTTACTTAAATAATTTACTTAATAATTAATAAAAGGTATAGAAATTAATTAAATTACTATACCTTTTAATCAATCATCAGCTACTAAATACAAATAGAAAAAAATAGAAAAAAATCAAATTACAAAAGAAAGAACTCTAAAAATGGAAATAAGTATATATTCATAAATATGGATTTTACTTATAGTTCTTTACCTATAAAATAAACATGAAAAACTTTTAATGATTGTGTTTAATGTAATGGTTATAAAATGTACCAAAAAAATGTAGAAAAAAAAAAAAGAGTAAACAAAATGTTGTAACCTTGTTTGGCATGTCTTTATTAAAATTAAATTTATTTGATGAAGTGGCAAACATTTAATCTAATGATGCGAGAAAGTCTATTGATAATGTAAGGCAGGCTGTTTGAATAAAAATGAACACATTTTAATTCATGATTGCAATTGTTATATAGTTAAATTGTTATCAAGTGTCATATCTAGGCAATAAAGCTTGAAATAAAATTTATTTTTAAAATTTTTTGGACATTTTACTTTATTTTGTTTATATCCTATTTTGTAAAAACAATTGTTAAAACTTGATTAAAACTCTTTTTGATTAAAATTCTGTTGATTAAAACTCTGTTGATTAAAACTCTGTTGATTAAAACTCTGTTGATTAAAACGCTGTTGATAGTTGATTTTTATATCAACTTGATTATATACCAACTTTGTTGATAAAAGCTGATTTTTATATTATCAACATGATTTTGATTTTTTTTCTTTTCTTTTGCTTATCTTCGCTTCCAACAAGGTTGCAAGCAACCACTAATTAGTGTTGGAAGTTACTGGAAGAGAGAAGATGAAGATTGTAGAGCAAGATAACGATTGACAGACGACTTAAAATATTGCAAATTGTATGAATCAGGAAAGCAAGATGAAGGAAGCGAATTCCAAAGAACTGATGTTCAAGGAAAAAAACTAGACAAATAAGAGTTTTTGGAGCACTTAGGAACAGTAACAGAAAAAGGATGAGACTTAATAGAATGACGAGTAACACGAGAATTAATTTTAGTAGATGGCACAAGAGACGCTAGCTCTTTAGAGCAGTGCCCATTATAGTATTTGTAGAAAAGAGAAAGAGAAGCAACATTATGACGATGTGACAGAGGTTGAAGGTTGGCTGCAAGAGCAGGTCCAACTATGTTTACAATGCGTTTTTGCACCTTGTCTAAAAGAGAAAGGGCATCATTAGAAGATCGGCCCCAGATATAGCAACAGTATTTCATACAAGGCCGGATTTGAGATTTATAGAGATAGAGAATAGAATCCAGAATAAGAAAGTGACGAGCTCGATAAAGAGAAGCAACTTTAGCAGATACTAATTTTGCAAAGAATTTGATATAAGGTTTCCAAGAAAGATCAAAAGTAAGAGTTAATCCTAGAAGATGAAGGGTAGGAGACTCATCAAGTACATTACCATTCATAAATATAGGAAGGTCTAAATTATTGCGATAAGGATTGGCCGAAAAAAATTGAGTTTTATCTGAATTAAAGTTCACCAGCCACTGCAAGCTCCATGCTGTAGCAGAAGTGAGATCCTTTTCGAGCTCAGATGCCCCCTGCAAGCAATCAGAGGGAGTTGGCTTCTTATCGTGACAAGAATAAATGGTAGTATCATCAGCGAACAATGCCACCTTAGATGTGAGAATATCTGGAAGATCGTTAATGTAAATTAAAAAGAGTATAGGGCCAAGGATTGAACCTTGGGGAACCCCTGAGGTTACAGAATAAGAAGAAGAGTGCAGTCCATCAAGGACAACTTTTATACTACGATTGGAAAGGAAGGATTCAATAATCTTAAAGATGTTTCCAGATACACCATAAAAAGAAAGCTTATGGAGGAGACCAGCATGCCAAACTTTATCAAACGCTTTAGAAATGTCAAGAGCAATGGCCTTAACCTCTCCACCTTTATCTAATGCGCGATAAAACCTATCGGTTATTACTGATAGCAAATCAGCCGTAGAACGAGAAGATCGAAATCCATACTGATGATAAGAAAGTAGGTTATGAGATTCGAGATTCGAGATTAAGTGTTTGTTAATTAAAGATTCAAAAACTTTGCTTATGATAGGAAGAAGACTAATGGGACGGTAGTTAGATGAGTCAGATCGCTCTCCAGAATTTTTAAAAATAGGGATAACAGATGCTGCTTTCCAGCAGGCTGGAAAACAAGACTCTGATAAGCACTTGTTGAATAGTTTTGAAAAGATAGATGACAGCTCAGGAGAACACTTCTGCAAGACTATAACAGGTATGTTGTCCGGGCCGCAAGCTGTAGAAGAGTCTAAGCAGGAAATCACTTTAGATACAGAAGCTAGAGTGATACGAATGTCGAGCAATGGATCAACCTGTTTGACGGGTATATCAGGTAAAACGCAACTAGTGGCATCAAGAGATGATATTGATGAAAAGTTCTTGGCAAACAATTCAGCTTTGTCTTTAGGTGAGGTGACAAAGTCTGAACCGTACAAAAGAGGTGGAATTACAGACTTGCCCTTATTATTGACACTATTAAAGATTCTCCAGAAGTCACGAGAGCCTAATTTTTGTGATAAAATACGAGATTTCATGATCTGTGAATAGCGGGTTTGGCGTTATTATTATCCTCAACATTATCCTCAACATTATTGTTTAAATTAGACATACTACATCTTTTTAGAAAATAATAAAATTCTTTTATTTGAGGAAAATATTTCTGCAGTTTTTTTAATTATGATCTTTATGTGTTGCTGTTGATGAAAAATGCTTTTTCATTTTTTTAACTCTAACCTTGAGTAGCTGCATGTCCCTGCATTTATTTTAACAAAAATAAACAAAACATCAAATATGAATAAATAAAGAAGTTTTAACAGACATTATCACTTCCACCTACAACAAAATTGACCCAAAACTTTGAGAAAAAAATTGCTGATAAAATACTACCTCTAAATAATTATGTGACTGCAGATCAAATAAACTCAAAAAGCTTTGTGATTTTTTTAAATCACAAAATTAGAAATCACATTTTTTGAAAAAAATGTGATTTCTAATTTATGTAATGTTGTATATTGTAAACAACTCTGCTGATTGTGGAGTAAAGTTTTATAGTAACTTTGTGGGAACTACTTAGAAAAAAAAAAGAAAGTCAGAAACTCTGAAGATTTTGAAAATTGCTGTTTTTGAACCCTTTTTGTTATGTAGCTAAACCAATTAACACTTCTACTTTATAAAATTCTTATTAAAAGAATATAAAATTTCAGACCAAGCAGGATATTTTTTCTAAAGGGTCTCTTTTTTACAGTCTAGATACAGATTTTAGCTCGTGATCGTTTTTGACACTTTTAAATTCTCAAGACACAATACACATTCAATACACATTCAATACACATGCGAATACCAAAATGATCAAGATCAAATTAATTTCTTAGATATCTGCGTTTCAATTAATCATATAACTCATGAATATAAATTTTCTATATACCGCAAGAATGCAATAACGAATGTACTTGTAAAACCGTAGTCTTGTATATCACCATATATTGCAATAGGAATATTTAAAGGTTTTCTTGCAAGAGCTTATAATTTATGCACTAGAGATAATATAGAAAAAGAAATTGAGTTCCTAATTAATATTTTTATGGAAAATGGATATTCTCAGCAACAACTTCTAGACATTGTAAAATATTACAAACTATCCCAAACAAAAAACCGCCAACAAATTAACACTAATAATACCATATTACTTCCATGGGTTCCTAAACTAAGCCTTATTCTTAGACGTGAGTTTCGAAAAGTTGGCATAAAAACAGTTTTTCGTTTTGGTAGATCTTTATCGAACATATTATGCCAAAATAAATCAAAGCTACCACCAAACAGTTACCCGAGTGTTTACCAACTTGAATGTACATGTGGCACTTTTTATGTGGGTGAAACCAGAAAAAAGATAAAAACATGAATAGCTGAACATCAAAAAAACGTGACTAAAGCGAACTGGAAAGCGTCTGGAATTGTTGAACATGCACAACATTGCAAAGGTATAATTAATTGGAATAATCCAAAAACACTTTCAGTAATCCCAAATAATTATACGAGAAAAATCAGGGAGGCAATTGAAATAGACAGATTACAATGTTGCTATCTAAAGAATAAAATTCTAAACCGAGATAATGGCAACCTAGTGACGACTTACCATTGGAAACCATTTTTTGTTAAATTTAAGAAAAACTTTTATAATATTACGCAGCAATGACATCATTTTTGTAAATAACGAATTTTTTGTAATATATATATATATGTGTATATATATATATATATATATATATATATATATATATATATATATATGTATATATATATATATATATATATATATATATATATATATATATATATATATATATATATATATATGTATATATATATATGTATATATATATATATATATATATATATATATATTTATATATATATATATATATATATATATATATATATAATATAAAATTGAAAATACATCATGTACGGGGACATACTATTTAATTTTTTAATTTTAAATGTGATATTTCAGCTATATTATATATATATATATATATATATATATATATATATATATATATATATATATATATATATATATATATATATATATATATATATATATATATATATATATATATATATATATATATATATAAATAAGATATAATTTATATTTACATTTTATTCTATATAAATATATAGAATAAAATATAAATATAAATTATTTATATTTTATTCTAAATATTTATCTTATTATATATATA